GCGGGGGTGCGCGGGCGGCCTCAGCCGGGGGAGGAGGACCGCGCAGGGGCCCGTCCGAGGCCAGCCACGGCCGTGTAGCGAGACCTTCTCCGCACCACAGCGCGCGCCGGCTCGGGTGGCCTTTTTGGGGACGCTCGTTGACCTCGATTCCGCAGCAAGGCTCACAGTGACCCTGTCCTTTGTCATTTGGGCCCTGGGTTCAGACAAGCCAAGTTGTGCTGGGTTCATCCTGTGCCTGGGGGTTGCAGCCCACAGAACAGAAGCAGTGTCGGCGGCTTGCAAGGACAGTTGCCTTTGTGTTTTGGGAAGTAGCCACTGGGAGAGGACAGGGTGTGCCCCGGGCTCTTAATAAGTAACTTTGTGAAAATTTGTTTCTTCCCACAGGCGGTTCAGGAAGAAGGGCAAGATCCTGATGAGATTGGCGTCGAACTGGAAAGCACAAGCAGGAGGACGCCGAAGAGATGCGCTAAAGGTAGCCACCGGTCCATACTTACCGAGCAGAGGGATGGGCACTGCGGCCTTGCTGCCTTGGTACCCGCGGGCTGCCGTCTAGGAAGTGGGCTCTCTCCTCACTCCCTGTCAGCCAGCTGTGCCAGGGCTGCACAACAGCACACACGTGCTGAGTCAAATTCAAATAGGGAGCGTGTCAGCCCTTGTCTTCGGAAAGGACAGAGTAAGGCTATCCCAACTGAGCTGAGCAACAAATGCTGCCTCTGCCTGGCTTCTTTCCTTGTTCAAAAAACTCGGTGGCATGGGAAATGTCGCCAGCCCAAGGTGAAGGAAAGACGGGCTTCCCTAGGGTCCAGAATAGATTGCTGGGGTATTTGCACCCAGCCTCTATTTTTACCAGTGTGTTGTCTTCTGTTTTCCTTGGTGCTGGGATCACACCCAGAGCCTTGCAGGTGCTCGGGGTGTGTTGTGCCTCTGACAACACTTGTGATGTTTTAAAAATCAAGATGTAGCTGGGCCTAATGGCAAAGGCCTGTACTACTGGCACTGGGGAGGCTGAAGCAGGGGAATCACCCTGAGTTCAAGACGAGCCTGAGCTACATAGCGAGATACTGTCTCAAAAAAAACCCCAGGTGTGGCACATGCCTATGATCCCAGCACTTAGGAAGCTAAGACAGGAGGTTCACTGCAAGTTTGAGACCAGCCTGGGCTACATAGTGAGTTTAAGGACAGTCTGAACTACATAGCAAAACTCTATCTCAAAAAATAATGATTTATAAGCTCTTAAATTTTCACCTAAGATAGTCAGTTCAGTGCTTTCTAGGCTAGTCACAGGCTGTATGCCCACCATCACTTGTCTAGCTGTGGAACATTGTTGTCATGCCAAGAGGAAACACCATTCTTGTCAGTGGTCAGTCTGCAGCCCCTTCTGTCTACAGCCCCTTCTGTCTGCAGCCCTTGGCACCCATGAACCTATTCTCAGTCTCTGTAGGTTTGCTTGTTCTGGACATTGCTTTATTTCATTTTTCGGAGGCAGGGTCTTGCTGTATAGTTCAGGCTGCCCTTGATCTCAGTATGTAGCCCAGGCTGGCCTCGCTTAAACTTGTGGCAAGCTTCTCATCTCAGCCTCCTGAGTGCTGGGGTTACAAGCATGCACCACCATGCCCGGCTTGTTCGGGACATTGCACAATGGGACTTACACAGCATGGCGTTTTGTGTTAGTTTCTTAGTGACGGTCTTCAAACCCCAGCTTTGTGACCTGTGTCAGTACTTTATTTCTTTTTGTGATTGATAATCACTTATTTTCAGAGATACCTAAAGTTACGACTTGGAACCCTTTGCCATTAGCTCTGTCCTGCTCATCAGATTTTCTAGGGAGAAGGACAATATATCACTTAAGAATTTAGGTGCTGGAGGGCTGGGGATATAGCTCAGTGGCATAAGCACCTGTCTGACAAGCAGGAGGTCATCAGTTCGATCCCTGGTACTTCAATCAATAAATCAATCAATCAATCAATCTTTTTTAAAAGGGGCGGGGAATTTAGCTCAGTGGCACAGTGCCTGCCTGGCAAGCGTAATGTCGCGAGTTCAATTCCCGGTACCGGAAAAAAACAAAAAAACCCAAAAAATTTGGGTGCTGGGCTTGCTTTTTTGTGTTTTGTGGTGCCAGGGTCCTTGTGTCCTAAGCACGGAGTTCATTCTGTGGCCCAGACTTGTTTCTGGAAGGTGCTGTATGGAAATTCTCTCAGCTGTCAATGTTCCTGTTGTAGGAAAAGGTACTAAATTCAAGTAGTGAGAACAGCTGCTTAGAAAGTAAAATGAAATTCAGCCTGGCGTGGTGGCACACACCTGTAATCCCAGCACTCAGGAGGCTGAGGCAGGAGGATCACTGTGAGTTCGAGCCAACCTGGGCTACAAAGTGAGCTCAAGGCCTGCTTGGACTACATAATGAGATCCTGTCTCAAAAAAAAGAAAAAAGAAGAGAGAAAGAAAGTGGAAAGGAATTCAACTGTAGCTCTCCTAACTATCCCTGTTTAAAGAGCTTCTCTTACAAAAACAACTTTTCTATAACACCTCTGGGTAAAACTGGTGCAAATATTTTGAAAAGTTAAGTTTTTCAGTTGGGTTACATAAGGAGTTGAAGTTAGGATTTACATCTGAGACGTTGCTGTGTCTTTGTTGTCCCTGAAAGTGTTGGACTCTCAGCTGGGACACTGAGCAGGTGGCAAATGGGAGAGGCCAGTGGCCACAGGATAAGCACCTGCTTTGCCTGCTTGGCAAGCGCAAGATCCTGAGTTTGATTTCCGGTATTTTTTTAAAAAAAAAAAAGGCCAGAAATATGGCTCAGCGGCATAAGTGTCTGCCTGGCAAACGTGAGGTCTTGAGTTTGATTACCGGTAACAAAAAAAAAAGACAAAAAACAAAAAGTTACAGTAAACCAAGGGTGGTTTATTTTAGCGTGGTGGTGCACACTTGTATCGGGAGGCTGAGGCAGGAGATTCGTTGTGAGTTTGAGACCATCCTGGGCTGCAAACTGAACTCAAGGCCAGCCTACTGCATAGCGAGACCCTGTTTCAAAAAGACCAAAAAAAAAAAGCAGCAAGCTGGACATCCAGCCTGTGCGGCTTGGGTGGGCTTTTCCTGGAGCTGGGGGTGGAACCCAAGCCTTGGTGCTGGGTGCACCCCTGCGTGGTGCCTTAGTGTGGGGTGCATTTCTGTGGTTACTCATAGGCATTTTGTTGTCGGGTCGGTTTGTGGGAAATCACTTGCTTTTAGCTTTGTCTCGCTTTTCTTTTGGGATGTTTGTTTCAGTTTGAACCGGTTGTGAAGTCTTCAAGTGTTTCGCTATCTTGTGAAAAGTCTCAGCTTTGATCAGTCACTGAGGCCTTCATGTCTCCTGTCCTTGTTGAGGGCTTTCAGAGAGCGCAGGCTGAGATGCGATTCCAAGTGACGGGCAGATCTGTGGCTTCTCCCTGTGATGTGTTCTGACTGAGACGGAGTGCTCCTCCTGGGTAAACTAAGTAGAAGGTCAGCACTGGAATGTTCCTGATCAAACGATTCTTCTTTAATTAGGGCAAAAGATGGAGGAGGAAGGCACAGAAGACAACGGCCTGGAAGAAGATTCCAGAGATGGGCAGGTATGTGCTGTCCCGGGAGAGCAGCGCCCAGATTCTTTCTGTCCTGGTAGCTGATGCGCCGTCGTCCTCTTCCAGGAGGACGTGGACTCGGGTCTAGAGAACCTGCAGAGCATGGACATGGTGGACATGAGTGTGTTAGACGAGACTGAAGCTGAGGACAGCAGTGCCCCAGACTTTGGGGAGGAAGGCGGTGGCGAGGACAGCATTCTCCATTCCTTCTATGACAGTAAAGAGTACGTGGCTGCGCAGCTGGGACAGCTTCCAGCTCAGCTCTCGGAACACGCTGTAGGTAACTTGGAGACACGTGGTATGCGCCGGGGGCAAGGGCTCTGTCCCAGGGAGAGCTCCGCCAGCCGCCATGAGCCCAGTGTGCTGCCTAGCCCTGGCTAAATAGACCTGGCGAGTATTTTTAGAATATTTTGGCAGGGAGACTCTTTCGAAACATGTAAGTTATAAAGTGGAAAGCCCACACAGCTACAGATATGTTTTTCCATTTAAGAGAGAGTTTTTTTGGACAGCTTTTTAAATTTTGAGTCAGGGTCTTCTTAAGTTGTTCAGGCTGGTCTTAAACTTTTGATCTTCCCGCCTCTTCCTTCTGAGTAGCTGGGATAACAGTCATGTGCCAGTGTGTCTGGCTCAAGAAATAGATCTTTTTTTTTTTTTTTTTTAAGGGCCTTTGCACTGGGTTACATTCGTAGCCCTGTCCTTTTTTTATTTTGAGATAAGGTTCTTGCTGAGTTGCCTGGGCTGGGCTTGAGCTCGCAGCCCTTATGCCTCAGCTTCCTAGGATGCTGGGATGACAGGCACACACCTCCAGAGCCAGCTCTGATACTTTAATCGGACTGGCCTTGTATGGCCAGCTTTTGTAGTTGGGGGTTTTTGTTGTTGTTCATGGAAAGTATCACGATTTTCCACTTTGGGGGAAATGCCTTTTAGGATCACACCCTACCCTTATCACCAACTGGTGGGAGGGTGGGAAGTGGGCACTGGGTACTCGAGCCACAGCAAGTTAGCCCTCAGTTGGTGCTGTTTGGGAATGCATGTGCCTCTGAAGGGTATAACTGCTCTCTTGTGTTTTGGTTCCTGGAGATGTCTGGGTCCTAGGTTCATGATCGGAGGCAGAGAGAAGGATCGTTTTCTTTTTCACATGAACAGATAAGGGTCTTCAATTTTAGTGGACACTTTTCCCTTTGTTTGGTACCTAAGAGAGAACATGATCCATTTAAATGCAGACATGGTGATGCACACCTGTAATTCCAGCACTGAGACTGAAGCAGGAGAATTTCTAGAATCTCAGTGCCAGCCTGGGCTACAGAGTAAGTTCAAGACCGGCTTGAATTGCATAGCAAGAGCCAGTCTCAATGGGAAAAAAAGGCCTATAATAAAGCTCTATTAACATAAAGGTATATTGTAAAGTTGGGGATGGTGTCACACACCTGTAATCCCAGCACTCGGGAGGTTGAGGCAAGAGGATTGCAGCAAGTTCAGGGCCACCCTGGGCTACATAGCGAGACCCTGTCTCCAAACAAAAATGCATGTTTTAAGTAAAGTAGCCTAGACCCGAGCATCCAGCTACAATATTTATTGTCCCCAGGTGAAATCCACCTGATCGTTTGGAGTTGTTAGGGGACATGTGGTTGGGGCATGTGTCAGTCACCAGTGCACGGAAACTGCCTGGCAAGCTCATTTTCCCTTTGTTGAGTCAGGGCCAGGGCCAGGGCCGCTGGCTTGTGTGCAGAACAGAGGGGAGTGAGGCGCGCTGATCGAGGGGGGCCCGCAGGTGGACAGACATGGGACAGACGCGAACACAGGTGGCCTCGACAGCAGGGAGGTGGAAGCCTCGGTGCCGCAGCGCTGGTCTCCACAGAGTGGTCTCATCTCCTCTTCCAGGTGGATGGGGAAGGCTTCGAGAGCCCTTTGGAAGCTTCATCATTGGACTTCAAAGTAACTCCGGTAAGCTACCGCTGGATTCTTTGACACTAGAGACTAGTGAGTGTTGATTTTCCAAGATGTGGAGTGTGTGCGCGTGCGTGTGCAGCGGGTCAAGTGCCCAGCTAGGTGGGCTGGAGGTCAGTGGAGCAGGCCCTCAATCTGTGTCCCTAGCGAGGCTGTTCTGGGACCCAGAAGCAGCGTATGGCAGAGAAGAGAGCAGGGTGCAGGCAGTGTGAGCAGTGCGCGGGAGCTTGCTGCAGAAAGAAGGGGCGACCACTGCAACCCCTAAGCCCAGGAAAGATGCGGCCTGTGGTCTGAGCCTGCGGAATGTTAGGGAGGTGTCATAGGCAGGTTGGTTAAAGGGAACAGGTTTTCCTCACAGATAATAGTTGGGGGAAGTGTTATGTTCTCAAGTCCAGTGTGGGGACCGATGGCGGGCTGTGTGACTGACCTATGCTTTCACCCAAGAACCTTGGCCAGTTGCAGGGACCAATGGGTGTAGCAGCCAGACTCAGGCTTAAATTCCCCGGCCAGGGACCGCCACTGCCCACGCTGGTCCTGCAGGAGCCTCACAGCAGCAGGCTGGTCTATCGTGGGTGACCAGATGCTGAGTATGGGCTGCCAGCAGGGAGTGTTCCCAGAACAGGTCTTTATTCATAGTTGTCCAGAGTTGTCCTCTCTAGGGAAATGTCCCCATGTGGTTTTTAAAGTGATGTGTGGATTTGCTCTTTTTTTTTCTCTTTAATATAGGATATTGAAGAACCTCTCTTGGAGCCAGGTACTGATAAGAGAAACGCGACAGTCTGGTTTGGAAGTTTTCCGCTAGTCCTATTTGAAAGCTATGTATATCTTAAGCTGTGGTATGGTCTTGTAAATCACCCTAGTGGTGGACAATCCAGATCGTACAAGGATCAGAGATTGGAAACCCATGCATATCACCAGATCTGTGGGCGTGTCGTCCGGGCTTCTCCAGGCAAATGTAGCGTGTGAGACGCAGGGATGCATTTTATCTCTGACCACGCAGTGTCATTTAAGTAATGTCCCCCGTGATTCCGCCACGTGTTTCCACACACGAAACAGATCTTGTGATATTTGGCCGCAATCCTTTGGTTAACACAGTTGAGGCAGGCTAAGCTGGTGTCAGGGCTCGCGCCGCCCAAGAAGGGCTTGGATCCTGAAGAGAAGAGCAGGGTTTCTTCATGAAAACTCGCAACCTGCCGTTTCCCCCGCTGGACTGCGTTTCTCTCCCGCCAAAGACGGAAGAGGCTCTCCTGAACTGTTCGCTAACTGCAATTCAAAGAAACGGGAAGTTGAGCTGTTCTCAGAACAGTGATTTGTTCGGTTCTGCACCGTGGACATTGGACAATCAGTCAGAAGACCCAGACTTGAAGAAAACCCAGAAAGAAGAAGGCTGTGGCAAAGCAGCCAGTGGTTGTAGGGGTTGAGTCTGTGGGGCCTTTTCTCTCCCCTGTAGCTAGAGGCTGGCGTAGCAGTGGTGGAGCGCAGGTAGTGTACAGTGTAACTGTGTGTACCCGCGGGTTTTCCAATCTCTGTGTAGCTAGCGGTGCTCTTCGTGTTAGTGTGGCAGCCGTGCCAGTTCCACATTTGTGATTGCTTTATTTCCCTGGTAATTAAACCTTGTGCCATTCTATTCCTGTTAAATCCGTAGAAAATGAGAAAATACTCGACATTTTGGGGGAAACTTGTAAATCTGAGCCAGTAAAAGAAGAAGGTTCCGAGCTGGAGCAGCCATTTGCACAGGATACAAGTAGCGTGGGGCCAGACAGGAAGCTGGCGGAGGAAGAGGACCTTTTTGGCAGCGCCCACCCGGAAGAGGAAGAGGAGGAAGAGCAGGAGCAGGAGGAAGAGGAGGAAGAGGAAGAGGAGGAGGGAGATTTAGATTTGGCCAGCGAGTCAACACGCGCTCAGTGGAGCGAGGCAGACACCCTGTTAGCGGTAGTGAAAAGGGAGCCCGTGGAGCAGACAGGCGAAGGCGCGAGGACGGACTGTGAGCCTGTAGGGCTAGAGAAGCCAGTTGAGCAGAGTAGCGCGGCCTCCGAGCTGCCGGAGGCCTCTAGCCAGGAGCTGGCGGAAGCGCCCGCGGAAGCCCCGAGCCCGGAGCCCCGAGATAGCAAGGAAGACGTGAAGAAGTTTGAGTTTGACGCTTGTAATGAAGTCCCTCCGGCTCCTAAAGAGTCCTCAACCAGTGAGGGCGCTGATCAGAAAATGAGGTTTGTTGTTTCTCAGTTTTAGACCAGACGCTATCTCCTTTTCATTGGTCATTTATGACACACATAAGCTGTTTTTCTGCAATTGGCCAGCCAGACTGCTGAAATTGTAGTTTTACTTCGTTTTATTTCTCTGTGTATTTTTAATGGGTGATTTGATTTCTTTTGTTTTTCTCAACCTACCATGGTTGTGTTTCTTAAATGGTCATTAATTGTTACCTTTAGCTTAATTGAATTGACTTTTACAAATCTGACATTGTAGTTTTCAGGTCAGATTTTCCAATATAAGCTTGCAAAGGTGCCTGTTAAGATTTTATTTCAGACTAATATTCTGGTAGGTATTCAGTTTTAGCACATATCATGCTTTTAATTTAGTTTGCTTTCATTTTTTTTCTGTATGAGTAACACTAACTTTTGTCTCTAGCTCTTTTAAGGAAGAAAAAGATATAAAGCCAGTCATTAAAGATGAGAAAGGTATGACAGCGTGCGCGCTGGAGGCCACGTACCGGCGTTGCGTTGGGGGGCAGGGCTGTGTTCAGTCCTTTGTCGTGGGCTGCAGGGCTTTACCCTCAGTGCTTTCTGCAGAGCCGAGTTGTCGGTGTTGGGGGCATCTGCGCTTTATGTTTCCACCTGGCATGTCAGTTGCCGGGTAGCAGCAGTTGAACCCCAAGCTGGGTACACTGGTCACACAGAAGCCTTTCAGCCTGTCATTGTCCTGTGGCTCCTGCACTGAAGAGCCGACCTCCGGACCCCGGCAACAGTGTGGGCAGGAGAGGCTGGGGTTAGTGTAGCCGGGGCTCCAAGGGCTTTGACGTGAGGCAGTGGTGCTCTCTGTCCCCTGAGAGGCTGTGTGTGACAGCCTCCCTCTCGCGCCAGGCCGTGTCAGCAGCAGCTCTGGACGGAACCTGTGGGTCAGCGGACTGTCTTCTACCACACGTGCCACTGACCTCAAGAACCTGTTCAGCAAATATGGAAAGGTAGGTGCCCACCTACTGGCTGGGAGCAAGATTAAAAAAGAAGCCCAAGGGCTGGTGGCAGCTCTGGTGACCCACTTTTGTGACTCATGCAAGCCCCTGGTCCCAGCCCCAGCCCCAGAATGAAGAAACTCGAGAGCTCACTCATTCCCTGTTGCCATTTTCATTGCTTTTTGTTTCTGGTTTTTTAATTAAAACAAAAAAAGACATCTGTAATCCCAGCACTCGGGAGGCTGAGGCAGGAGGACTGTTGCGAGTTTGAGACCAGCCTGCGCTACAAAGTGAGCTCAAGGCCAGCCTGAACTGCATAATGAGACCCTGTTTCAAGAAGACCAAAAAAAAAAAGGCTGGGTACCTTGGTGTACACCTGTCATCCCAGCACTCTTGAGGCTGAGGCAAGAAAACCACAAAATCAGGTCTAGCCTGGCCAACTCCATCACTTAGGACCGGGGATATAGTTCAGTGGCACAGCACCTGCCTGGAAAGCACAAGGTTCTGAGTTTGATTCCTGGTACAAAAAAAACTCACTTAGAAGGACCCTGTCTGCAGAGTTAAAAAACAGCTGGAAGTGTAGTTCAATGCAAAGACTCTGGGTTCAATTCCTGGAATCACCAAAAAAACTGAAGAGGTGACGGAGCCCCCATATTGGTGCGTGTGCCATGTTCCCTGGTTCAGAGCAGCCAGTGTCGCGGGGAGAGGATAGGGTTCGTTAGTCCTGAGCCCGGCTTGGACGTGGTGCACAGTTACCGTCCAGATGTTCCTGTGCTTCCTCGTCATTTGTCTCCCAGAAGCAGCCGTCTTCTGGCTCAGGCAGCGCCGAGAGCTGGCGTGCTGTTTCTCCTCAGCAGTAAGGGTCTTGTCGTTGCCTTTGCTGTCCTGCAGCTGCACGCATGGAGTTTGATAACGGACGTGGCGCGCTGTGCAGGAGGCTGGCAGGGTATTACCCAGTGCACATGCCTGCTGTGGGAATGCTCAGGACAGTTGGGAATGATGGCACTCTCCAGGGCCTGCTAAGGGAACACTGGCCTAACACTTGTCACTGGTCCTTGGGTGCCCGGAACAGTGGCCCCCAAGGCACAGCTGGTGGTGGCAGCTCAGGACCTTAGGTCAAAATGGTGCAGGGTCCTGGGGAGAGTGTCACGGTTTTGTGAAGTAACACCTCATTCCTCAGTCTATATCCCTGTCACCTGATCAGGATGACTTAAGCCCACAGGACCCTGGGAAAGAATTCATCATCCTGAATTTTCATAGCAGTCAGCTGTAAGGAGGGCGTAGGGGAGCCAAAGAGCCACCCACCACCAGCCGTCATTCTGGTGGCTTCCTCCTCGAGGCGCACTGCTGGGGAAGCAAGCAGCCAGCCTTGCGGCCAGGGTCCTTGTGGGTTGGAAGCCATGGTGGGAGGACAGGAAGGTGTGCACACGTGCTGTGTGAGAAGCGGCACAGGCTACTGCCATCACTGTAGGATGGGTCTGGGGAGGTCGGGGAGGCTGCTTCAGCAGACAGACACACGGCCCTGGAAGGGCGCTGAGGGCCTTGGGCCAGAGGGCAGGGTGGGCGCCTGGGAGCTGTGCTGCTGGTTGTGCCACTGGGTCTCCCATGCCAGAGGTGACACTCAGCTCTGAGCTGGCTCCATCCTAGCTTGGCTTCCCATCCAGAGAGGGGAAACAGTTTCATTGCTGATGCAGAAGTTGGGCCTGCCTTCCTCGGTGTCGGGCAGAGCCTAGAGCACTGCGCCCCCAAAGTCCTGGGAGAGGAAGTGGCTTGCTGAAGCTGACCAGCCCGTCAGGAGGGATGTGAGGCTGGGCTGCATTCCTAGGCTTTTCCCACTGCTCCAAGTCCTTGCCCCTTGCCGCTTTGAATGCCTTAAGGGAAGGTGCACTTTTGCGAGGGGGAGCCCAGGGCGTCGTGCATGCTGGGTTAACTGGGGAGGCGCTTGCCCTGCCACCCAGAGATGTGCACTTTTAAAACGAGTGTCTCTGGGCATGGCTGTGAATCTCTATTGCTCTGTTAACCCTTCGATGTTTACTGTCTTTTTGTCTGCCTTCTTGTGGCATGAGTCTGTGGGACTTTTGTGTTATTAACTACAAATCTATTTTATTTATTTATGCTTTTCTGCCCAAACTGGGGATTGAGCCCAGGCGCTTTACACTAAGCCACATCCTCTGCCCTTTTTTTTTTTTTGAGACGCAGTCTTGCTAAGTGCTGAGATTTTAGGAGAGTGCCACCATGCCTGGCTTTAGTGGTTGTTTTCTAAGAATGACAGTACGAATCTTTCAGTGCCAAGTGATTCTGTACTTGTGTGACTGTAAAAACTTGACAGAAATATTTATTATTTACCTTCCCCTCTCCCAGTCTAAAATTTGTCAGCATTTTACACTTCATTCCCTTTTTGTTGTTGTTGTTGGTCCTGGGAATTGAACTAAAGACCTTGTACACGCTAGGCAAGCACTCTACCAGTGAGCTGCATCCCCAGCCACCTCCTTCACTCCTTTCCTTGTGGGCTTTGCTTTGGTCTGACTTTCTTGCATTCAGCAGTTACCTTACGAGTTGAACCCTAAGGCGCTTGACCGCTTCCAGTCTTTTGTTTCATTTTGAGACAGGGTCTTGCAGAGTTGCCCAGGTTGGCTTGAACTTGTGATGCTCTTGCCTCAGCCTCCTGAATACCTGAGAGGACAGGTGTGTGCCACCATATCCGGCTGAAATAACTTCTTAATCCTTGACTGCTAGTTCTGTCGCCTCTGTCATCCATGGGTCTGTTTGTGTTGATTGGCTCTTTCTTCACTGTGGGTTATCGTTTTCTCCTCTTCAGGTCCAGTGAGGTTTTTTTTTTTAATGTCTAGTGAATTTTGATGGGGGTGTCAGGTATTGTGAATTGGACTTGGGGTGCCGTCGTTGTATTCGTTTTTCTCTGGGACACAGCCCAGTTACTTAGGCATGGCTTGTCCCTTCTGAGCATTGCTTTTATGGTTTTTAACTCAGGGCCCCCAGCAGCCCTTCGCTTAGGGCTAATTGGGCCTCACTACTAGGGCAGTGGCCTTGTATGTGGTCTGCCTAACATCTTTTGGATTGGAAGCTTGGTTCCCCCCGGCTCCTGGAAAGAGTGGAGCGTCCATGGGCCAAGTAGAGCGCAGGGGTTGTTCTCTGTGCTGCTTGTGGCAGATGCCCTTGCCCACATGCCCAGCTTAGGTGGGGCCCTCTGCACATCTCCTTTCAGCTCTGCCACTCACATCTGCAGTTTTCTCTGTCTTGGTCTTTCTATCTCAGCTCCATCTCCTCGACTCAGTGGAAAACTGCCGCGGTTTCTCCTCCCCGCCTGGGGTCTGGAAACGGCAGGCAGAAGGCAGGGACAAGCACGGGGCTCCTTCAGGACGGCTGTCCCGGGCAGCCTGAGGTCCAGGCTGTGAAGGCATCTGTGCCATCCTCCCTCCAGGTGTGCCCTGGCTCCACGGCAGGGCCGCTCGGGGCTGGAAGCAAAAGGCCTCTCCCCTGGCCCATCTGTCCCTAAGTGCGGGGGCGGCAGCGGTCCAGCGTTTGATTCTTTAGCAAGTTGTGGGTGGTGAAGTTGAAGGAGATGTGCCCTGAGGGCTGACAGTGAAAGCAGTTGTATTTTGATAGATCTGGGTTCAGTGTAACCGGTCCTATAGCTGATTATGCAGAACCCCCAGATTGTGTGGAAGCAACAGAGTGGAAACAATTCTGATCGTCTATTAATGGCTGGTAATGTTAAGTTTCTGATTATTTGTGTGAGAGAAAAAGAGCTCCCTTTTTCTTGAAGGTGATCGGGGCCAAAGTGGTGACCAACGCCCGCAGTCCCGGGGCCCGGTGCTATGGATTTGTGACCATGTCCACATCTGAGGAGGCGACCAAGTGCATCAGCCACCTGCACAGGACTGAGCTTCATGGGAGGATGATCTCCGTGGAGAGGGTGAGGCCGCCAGCGTCTGTCGTGGCTCACAGAGGTGATAAGGGACAAGCCTGGTCCCCACGTCATCTTTACACATACTCTGTTGCAGGCCAAAAACGAACCTGCTGGGAAGAAACTGTCAGACAGGAAAGAGTGTGAGGTGAAGAAGGAAAGGTTCTCTAATGCTGACAGACATCACCCTGTGGAGATCAAAATTGAAAAGTAAAGTGGTTTTTACAGACTTTCACTCGGGGTCCTGGGGGAGGCAGGTCGCAGCCCCACGTCCCCCGAGAGCGAGCCCCTTTCTGTCTGAGCAGCTTCGCGCTCTTGTCTCTTCATGCGCTTTCAGGCTCCTAGAGCTTTTAGCAGAGAGACCGTTGCCTTCGTGTGGGTGCAGGTGACCCCTGTAAGTGCGGCCTCTTAGCGTTGGTGGTACTTGAAAAACATGTACCTAGGGTGAAACCGTCCTGTTTCCATTTTCAGTGTCCTGGGTCCTGGCTTGGCATCGTTTTCTTGTCTGCATTTATTTTTGTGCCCTTGCTTTTAACCACGGAAACTGCCCCAAAACCCAGTTTTCCAAAGGTGAAATACCACCGGGAAGACAGGGACCTCAAGCCGGTCGCTTGTGCTGTGTGCAACAAATGGGGATTGTGTTGCTTGTGTCAAAAATTAAAAATATCTGGGGTCCTACTTCGAGTGCACCGGGAACCCAGCATACCGCAGCCCAGTGATGTGGGAGCAGAGGGCTGGCAGCGCTCCCCATGGGGTAGGATGTATGTCTCTAGCACCTGGCCTTGGGCAGACGTCTTCCTATCAAGGCTGCAGCCTCTCTTCACAGCAGGCTGGTATCAGCGGTGACTTGGGAGAGGTGCAGTCTCAGGAAGAAATGGTGGTGCTGGAGGTCAGGTGGAGGGAGAAGTGCTGTGTCAGCGAGTGCTGGGCCATGCTTGTCCACATAATTCGCCCTCACCCTGCATCTCATCTCTAGAACAGGACTGAGATGCTGCCCTGTAGTAATTCCATCTTGGTGTTCTTTCGTGTAAGAAAATGTGTAGAGTAAACATTTCCGTGGATGGCATTAGTGTTCATAAGTATTTTTTTTGAGACAGCATCTCACTATGTAGCCCAGGCTGGCCTTGAACTCACAGTGATCCTCCTGCCTCAGCCTCCTGAGTGCTAGGATGACAGGTGTGCGCCACCACCCCAGCAGTACTCATAAATGGAACTGGGATTTGAAAGCTGTGATCTATGTTTTGAGCAGAGGGCGCCTGATTGGACTTGGACGCCTCCTTCAGGTTTTTGAGTGAGACAGATTATCAGCAAATTCTTTGAAGATAAACTTCCTGTCAGCATTGGGGAAAAAGAAACTGTACTGGTGTAGAACGTGGGGCAGCTGGAAGTTCTTAGCGTCCTGGGGTGCCCGTTACTCATTTTTCTGATTCCAAAGTTGAGGTGTGTTTGTGGGAATGGAAGATGATGAGGACCAGTTAGCAGACATCCAGCGGCCCACGCTCCACATCATGCATGCAGTCCTGGGGGATGCGCCCTGTATAGAAGTGGAAGCAGGCACGGAGAAGGCCAGTGCCCAGCCCGAGGTCACAAGCCACGCTAGTAACTGGCAAGGGAAGCATTGAACCCAAATGGCTCTTCTGAGCCCTAGGCCTGTGCTGGATGGTAGGTTTAAAATGTTTAAAACCGAGCCAGCCTGGCATGGTGGCGCACGCCTGTAATCCCAGCACTCGGGAGGCTGAGGCAGGAGGATTGTTGGGTTAGACAGGAGGATTGTTGGAGACCAGCCTGGGCTACAAAGTGATTTCAAGACCAGCCTGAATTGCATAGCAAGACCTTGTCTCAAAAGAAATAAAAACAAAAATAAAACCAAACTGCTGGGTGTGATGGCGCATATCTATAATCCCAGCACTTGGGAGGCTGAGGCAGGAGAATTTCCATGAGTTCCAGGACAGCCTGAGCTACATTGTGAGTTTGAGGTCAGCCTAAACTGCATAGCGAGACCCTGCCTCTCAAAAAACCAAACTGCTGCACACCTGTAATACCAGCACTCAAGAGGCTGAGGCAGGAGGATCATAGGGGATTCAAGGTCAGCCTGACCTATACAGCAAGACCCTGTCTTAAAAACAAAACACTGCTTTATAGCCATGTGTGATGGCATACACATGTAATCCCAGCTACTGCAGAGGCTGAAACAAAATTGTATGCTTGAGCCCAGCCAGAGCAATTTAGTGACTCAGACCCTTTCTCAAAAAATGAAAAAAGGCTGATTGATTGGATGTGGTGGCACATACCTGTAATTCTGGCATTCAGGAGGCTGAGGCAGGAGGATCACTGCAAGGTCAAGGCCACCTTGGACTACATAGCGAGATTCTGTCTCCAAAAAAAGGAGAGGGCTGGGGATGTAGCTCAGGAGTAGAGCACTTGCCTAGTATGTGGGAGGCCTTGGGTATCACAAACCAAAAAAACCGCCTTTAGGTGGTTTATCAGAAAGTGGAGCCTTTTTACCTTTTTTCCCTTCAAATAAGCACCTTACTTAAGCCTTTTCATTTTAAGACCTGCCATACCCGGCACCTGATGAGCCATTTGAAGTCTCCAAATTCGGGGGTGGCCAGTCACAGGGAGCTCACTACGCTGCCTCTGTCCTGTGCGACTGCTGTCTTTGTTGGGTAGCAGTTGCTTAAAAACAACATTTCACGTGTACATCGTGAGCAGATCTGAAACGTCCTTAGGTAGCTGGAGAGTTTCTCCTTCGTTCCTGTACGTCTGTCTCGCACCTCGCTCCTCTCAGAAGCAGCGGTCTCAAGCTGGACTTCGCTGTGTGTGTGAACGGAAAAGGGCTTGCCAAGGGTAGTGGCACAGACCTGGAATCCGAGCTGCTGGGGAGGCTGCAGCAAGAACGTCAAGGCCAGCCTGGGGAACTCGGAGTCCCAGTCTCAAACAGTAGAAAGGGCCGGGTTGGTGGTGCGCGCCTGTCATCCGGGCTGGATCCCACCCTGGGCTCCATAGCAAGCCCCAGTGAAGCCCTGGGTTAGGGCATCCCGGCTTCAGTCCCCAGTACCGCCAACAGGCAGAGGACAGGGCTGGGCGTGGCTCGCTTTCCTGGCCTGTGAGCTCCATTCGCTTTCCTGCGCCTTCCAGTCGCTCTGCTGTGCCGCCTCGGTGAGGGTCAGGGCCACTCCTGTGATGGATGCTGTGAACTCCAGTGTGGGATCCATGTTTTTGAATAGAACCGTGATCAAGAAGGAGGAGAAGGTTGAAAAAAAGGAGGAGAAAAAACCAGAAGACATTAAAAAGGAAGAAAAAGACCAAGATGAGCTGAAAGCAGGACCTGCAAACCGGTCCAGAGTCACTAAATCAGGTGACGATGGGGTCCTGTAAGTGGTGCAGGGCTCGGGCAGGTGGGTGCGGAGACATGGACAGTGGAGCCCCCGGGGGGTTTGTTCTTCATAGGGCAGAGCCTCGGGCAGAGCCTCAGCCAGTGCAGTGGCTTAGCCAAGTTTCTACTCCGTCAGGAGAGCCTGGAGCAGGCTGCAGGTCGGTGGACTAGCCTTGGCTCCTGAGTGCCCTGATTGTGGGGTAGGATGAAGCCCACATTTTGGAAGGAGTCCTCGGGGCTCCTTGTAGCTGATCTAGTGCAATTCTGCAAGTGTGGGACAGCTGGGCGTGACAGTAGGCACCACAGTTCCAAATAGGGAGGCTGAGGCAGGAGAGTTGGTGGAGTCAGGAGTTGGGACCAGCCCTGGGGACATAGCAAGACCTGGTTGCTTAAGAAAAACAGAGAAAACTGAAATCTCAGAACATACACACCCATTGAAGTAGTCATGCTAGGAAGACGCCAGTTCTGTTGTTGTTTATAGAAGTTTATTGCGCTCTGCACTGACAAAGTTGTGTGCAGCTCCTTGTGTGTGGCAGAAAATAAACCAAACCACCCCCCACCCAGTCCCTAAAAAAGACACAGATAGAGCCCAGCCACCTGGAGCGCCGCAGAGCGGAGCAGCTTGGCGCCAGTTAGTGCTGAGTGTTTGGGGTAATTTACCAGCAATCTCAAGAGTAACAGGCTTTTCAAATGTTCTGCATCACATAAATTGCCGCAAACAAGTCACTGCTCTGCATAGGGGCTGCTTGCTGTGCCGTGGGCGTGGGCAACACTGCTCCGCAAGTGCGTGCTGCTGAGTCGCGAGTGGCGGCCCAGCTGGCGCAGCACCACCTTGGGACAGCCGCGCGAGGTCCTTGCACCTGACCCGGGCCTCGTGCTTCGTGCAGGGCATGGGGGCTGTGGGAATGTGGGGTTCTCCTGGTGCAGCCGGGGCTCAGCCAGAGCGAAGGTGGCGGAATTCTGCAGGATGGCCCGCTCTGCCCACAGGATGGCAGTCCAGGTTCTCGGCACAGGACTCGCCTGTCCGTGCCCAGGCAGTTGTGTCCCCAGGCTCCACCCGGCAGGGCTCACTTGACGTCATAGTGGGGGGGGACAGGAGATGGGCCCGAGGGGGCTGAGGTGCTCGCACGCACTGATGGCCGCCTGTCTCCCTGAAGGAAGCAGAGGGACAGAGCGGACGGTGGTGATGGACAAGTCCAAGGGCGAGCCCGTCATCAGTGTGAAGACCACTAGCAGGTCCAAGGAGAGGGTGAGTGCCCGCTGCACGGGGAGCAAGCACTGCGTCCACTCCAGAGTGTTCTCTGCCTTATTTATTTAGGTAATACTGAGAGTTGAACATGCTGAGCTACATCCCCTGCCCTTTTTTTGAGACAAGGTCTCACCAGTTTTCCTAGGCTTTTCCTAGGATTTTTCTAATCCTCTGCCTCAGCCTCCAAAGAGTGCTGGGATGAGGTCTGTGGCGCTGTGCTCAGCTCCCCTCCCCCTGAGACTGAGACGTACTTGTGCTCAGGAGGCACGTGGGTAGCTCCTTAGCTTCTGTCCGAGATGCACAGCGAGGTCCTGGCCCTTGTCCAGCACACGTCCCAGCCTGGCTCCTTAACCCTGGCTCCTGGAGGGGCTGTCTGCAAGGCAGAACCAGGTCACCTCCCCACAGCTGGTGTTGGGTTAGCCGGAGGGAGCATCTGCGCGGTGTCATAGGTACCTCGCTTCGCAGGTGTTCCCACAGCCGGACAAAACGGTAGTGTCTTCACTCAAAAACTACACAGAAGCCAGGCACGGTGGCACGCACCTATGATTTTGTAGTTGGGAGGCTGAGGCAGGAGGATTGCCTTGAGTTTGGGGGCAGTCTGGGCTACATAGGTTGACCAAAGAAAACAAATGAAGGCTGGAGCCTCCCAGCTGCAGGCCATTTGCGTGGAGGCGCACTCACTTGGAGGGCACACGGGGCAGTGTGTGCAGGCTTTGCAGTAAGCGTGGGCATGGCGAGGGGGAGGCCCTGCTTCCATCCCAGTGTCACAGCCAAAAGAAGAAATGAGAAAGGGGGTTCTGGTAGGGAACAATTCTTGTTCTGCTGGGTTACCCAAAGACCATGCAGTACAGAGAAGGTCAGAGAAGGTACCAACAGAAAGGACCCCATGACCTGGTGGTTTGTTTGTTTGTTTTTGTTTTTGAGATAAGGTCTCACTATGTCGCCCAGGCTGGTCTTGAACTTGCAGCAGTTCTCTCGCCTCAGCCTCCTGCGTGCTGGTTTAACAGGCGTGCGCCACCACGCCTAACTCCTTGACTGTGTTGTGGCTGAGCCTGATTCTGCCTTTTGAGAGGAGGAGAAGGGGCACAGTGGGGGACTGAACACAGGCCCTCCACACTCAGCTTCATCCCCAGCCCTTTTTAAGCTTTATTTTGAGATAGGTTCTTACTAAACTTGCCCAGGCTGAGCTTGAACTTTTGATCCTCCTGCCTCAGCCTCCCAGAGTGCTGGGCTGATAGGCCTGTGCCACCACACCCTGTGCTTGGTCTTTTTTTATACCCTGCTCCTGTCCTACTTAATTAAGGAAACAAGCCGTGGAGAGTTCTAGAAACGCCACCCCCCATCCCTGTCCAGAGGTCCTGAGGGCAGCAGGAGGATCTGTGTTACTCACAAGCTTCTGGGGAGGATCTGAGGTGTGGCCAGCTTGGGGAAGCCTCAGCACCCTCAGAAGTTGGAGTGGGGTTAGACTTGTGCCTCCTCCCGGAACCAGTGTGTCCTGGGTGCTGGAGCGTTATCAGGAGGGCTGCTTTGCAGGAAAATATTTTGGCCGGTTCTGTGTCCAGGCTGCTGGGGGCTTGGGCCAGCAGTGGGAAGGTGACACTGGCCAGTCCCCCTGTCCCCTGGCACTGATGGGCAGCTGTGGCCTGTGGACGAGCCCCAAGACGGGGGCAGCTATCATAACTGGGCCTTGTGAGGCTGGGGCTGCCTGTGAATGTCCTGAGGTGTTGGCCGGCTCCACCCTGCCATGATGCCCTACGGCCTTGGGAGCAGAAGGCCCTGTGTGAGGCAGCGGCCTGGGCCTGCCCTGGGCTGGGCCACATGGGGCCAGAGCTCAGTCCCTCTGGAGATACAGCTTTCATTCTCGTTGGCGGCAGTCTTTTTTTTCTTTAAAGTTTGTTTGTTTTAAATTAAATGTACTGGGGCTGGGGATTTAGCTCAGTGGCAAAAGCGCCTGCCTGGCAAGCGCAAGGTCGTGAGTTCGGTTCCCGGTACCTGAGAAAAACCAAAAACCAAAAAAAAATAAATAAAAAAATAAATGTACTTTTTGGCTGGGCATGGTGATGCATGCCTGTAATCCCAGCACTCACTCAGGAGGCTGAAGCAGGAGGACTGCCATGAGTTCGAGGCCAGCCTGGGTGATGTAGTGACTGCAAGGCCAGGCTGAACAACATCGGCAAAACCCTGTCTCCAAAAAAGTATTTTTTAACTGCTAAATAAAAATGCAAAAGTTAAGCCAACTGCTTGGGTAAACATCCCAGTTGTTTGGGAGGCTGGGGCTGAAGAACTTCAATCGAATGTTGGGCGGCCAGCTTGGGCATCAGGCTGCAGGCTCTTCGCAGTGAGTGCTTCTTTTCCAATTTGTCACTGGCCCCTACGCGCACCGCAGAGCATGTTTCTTTTCCCACCTGTAACAAAAGGAAAGCTTTGCTACTTAAATAAGGTTGAACATAGCTAACCTCAGACGCTTAGCATTTTATCATGGTGGAAACTTTCAAGGTCATGGTTCCTGCCAGGCATGGTGGCGCACACCTGTAATCCCAGCACTTGGGAGGCTGAGGCAGGAGGATTTCCATGAGTTCAAGGCCAGCCTGGGCTACAAAGAGAGCTCAAGGCCAGCCTGAACTGCATAGAGAGACCTTGCCTCAAAACGACAAAAAACTGGGGGGAAAAAAAAAATCATAGTTCCTGAAATGCATTGTCTTGCTGTTATCTACAGTGTGGTGACCCTGTGCTAACTCTTAATAAACAGAGCTCCAAGAGTCAGGATCGCAAATCGGAAAGCAAGGAGAAGAGAGACATCCTGTCCTTTGACAAAATCAAAGAGCAGAGGGAGCGAGAGCGGCAGCGGCAGCGGGAGCGGGAGATCCGGGAGACAGAGCGGCGGCGGTGAGCAGCGACGCTCAGGGCCGGGTGGTGTCCCTTCTTCCCTGCTGCGCAAGGGTGGCGTCTGCATGGCCCTTCCTGCTTCACCAGACTCTCCGCCCCTCCCCTGGTACCAGGAACCAAACTCGCCACCTTGCGCTTGTCAGGCAGGCGCTATGCCGCTGAGCTAAATCCCCAGCCCTTCACCGGATTCTTGTTCTCATGACAAATGGTCTTATTCTGCAAAGACCATTTTTGCCCTCGCGCCTCGCCCGGTGCAGTGAGAGGCCCACTCCTGGGGAGGCTTCGGCACCTTCCTGCCGCACCCCTGCTGCTTAGGTGGTGCGCTTGCATATCCCACCCCACGTAGTGCTAACCTCTCACCTCCGCCTGGACCTTTGGCCACCACAGAGTTCCCTCTGCATTTCTCAAATGCCACTTACTCAGGAGAAAACCCTTTCCAGAAGCTGGGTGTGGTGATGCACACCTGTCACCGCTGCAAGGCTGAGGCAGGATACCAAGAGCAAAGCCCTGTCTGAAAAATAAAATCTAAAAGGGGCTAGGAGTGCAGCTCAGTGCAAAGGCCCCTGGGTCCCATCCCCATTACAGCCACAGGAAGGAAGTTAGGAAGTTTCCCTGGCACTGTGGCAGAAAGTTTTCCCCCCTCGCCAGGTTGTTGAGCTGGTGCCCATGAGCGGGAACTTCCTTCCAGTGGGGCTGCCTTTATATTTCTTTCTGCATGATTGGCTTCTTTTGGTCCTGGTTTTTGGCTTGGAGGCTTTGCAGGCTCAGTCAGGGTGTGGCCCGAGTGACTGGATCCAACCAAGGTGCTGGGGGAATGGGGAAGGTTGATAGGCGTAGGGGTACATTGGGGTGGGGCCGTGGCAGCGGCAGACAAGATCGGCTCTGCTGTTTCCGGGACACTTCTGCACGTGGCTGCAAGGTCCTTTCCTGCCATTTTCAGAGCAACCTTTTGCCCAAGGCCCTCACTGCAAAACCAGTTGGGGGGTCTTCTGCCTCTCAGTTCTGGTTTGGCGGGTGTGGGCTTCTGGGCTGGGGGTACTCGGTCTGTGCGGCGATTGCAGCAGGGCTTTTCCTGCACGTGGCTGTCGCCCAGGATGCGCCATGTGGCCCTGTCCTGGGGTGTCTGAGCCCAGACTTGCTGGTCTGGGCTGCTGTGACCATGTCTGCCACCTTGGCCCTGCAAGGCGAGGTCCTGGCTGTGCAGGAGGTGCTGACACCCACACCCTGCAGGGAGCGGGAGCAGCGGGAGCGGGAGCAGCGGCTGGAGGCCTTCCACGAGCGCAAGGAGAAGGCGCGGCTGCAGCGGGAGCGGCTGCACCTGGAGTGCCAGCGGCAGCGGCTGGAGCGCGAGCGCATGGAGCGGGAGCGGCTGGAGCGGGAGCGCATGCGTGTGGAGCGCGAGCGCAGGAAGGAGCAGGAGCGCATCCACCGCGAGCGCGAGGAGCTGCGGCGCCAGCAGGAGCAGCTGCGCTATGAGCAGGAGCGCCGGCCGGCGCTGCGGAGGCCCTACGACCTGGACAGGTAAGCAGCGGCTGCAGCCCCCTTCCGCTTGTGGTTCAGGGTCACCGTGGAGGTTGCTCCTGCCCTGGTGAGCTCTGCTTCCTGGCTCGTGCTCCACCAGGCCTGGCCTGAAGCAGCCGAAAGTCTGTGGGGCGGGGTGGCCAGGCTGCTCCCTCCTCTGTGGTGTCTTTGGATGCAGAGGCAGAGGCGGCACTGGGGGCCTGTCTGGTTTGGAAAGTAAGCGTATTGGTCCCCAGCGTCTCCGCGCTGCCTAATTGCAGATCCCTGTCATTCTGGCCCCCTTGAGCCTCCTTTTCTAGTGAAAATGGGCAGAGGATAATTGACCGCTTTGCTGAGCTGCACGTAGTTCCCGCCACCTGATCTCCTTCCCCGTGCTCCTGTGCAAACCCAGAGGGAAGGAGGGAAGACGCTGGAGGGAAGACGGGCAGCTGGGAACGTGGGCCCGGGAGCAGCGCTGGGAAAGAGTGCAGCATTTCATTCCTCGCGTGTCTGTCTGAGCTCGTGCGAGGATCAAGGTGTTCCCAGCCCTGTGATGCAGTCAGCTCCCAGCAGTGCCCCTCGGACAGAGCACAGTGCCCGGTGCCTCTTGGCGGTTCGGGGCTTTTAATTTATCAAATCAAAGCTGTGAGGACGGAGCTTGGAGATTAGCCCTGCAGGATGCTTTAAGTGATGCAGGAGCGGGGGAGCGCGCTCCCACCTCCACCCTTCCCTTCCCCTCCTTCGCATCCATAAATGAGCTTTGCCTTCTCGTTAAGCACAAGTAGGCGAGAGGATGCTTACTGGCCTGAAGGAAAGCGGGCGGCCCTGGAGGACAGGTACCGCGCGGACTTCCCACGGGCTGATCACCGTTTCCATGACTTTGATCACCGCGACCGGGGCCAGTACCAGGACCACGGTGCCGACAGGTCAGCGTCCTGCGCCGAGTGTTGCAGCCATTTTTCTTTCTGAGGGTCCCGCTGGGGTGTGGGGGCACCGCACAGAACTCCATGGGTGGGAATTGGAGGTCACTGAGTCGCTGCCCCCACTGGGCACCGCCATGCCTGACGTACGGCAGCCACGTGCCAGGCACCCACTGCAGATGATGGAGTGACCACTCCTTCCGGAGTCCTTGCTGTGCCTCTGGTCCTTGCAGAGCTTGGAGGAGGCGGGAGCTCGTGGTGGGGAAGGGCTGCCAGGATGGGGGCAGCAGGGACACCTCAGGAGCGCACAGCCTCCTTGGACTGCTCTGCGGTGCCATTGCCACCTCACCTTTTTTTGCTATAGCTTTGCAAGTCCCTCCTGCAGAGCAAGGTCTGGCCCTGGTAAAAGGCGGCCTGGCCATCCAAGCTGGGCGCCGTGTTCCCAGGGCAGGGTGGGCTGAGGCTCCTGACCCCCAGGCGGCGAGGACTGAGTGTCCATGAGGCCGGCTGTCGGCTCTTCACACGCTGCCTCAGAGAGGAGTGCTGTGCGCCTGCCGCTTTGCTTTTGCTCCGGCCTGTGTGCTCTTCCCCAGGCCAGTTGGCTCTGGGGCTCCCGCGGGGAGGTAGAGCAAGCGTCCTGGCTGTGAACCTGCTGCGGCCCGCAGGAATGGCGGTGCCGCTGGCTGCGGCTACAGCGAGCTGTTCCTTTTGCAGGAGGGCAGGGCCCCGGCCGGGGATGGGCGAGCGGGACGGGCAGGTGAGTGGAGCCGAGCTGCGGGCTGTGTGCGTGCTGCCTGTCTGCCTCGCTCCAGAGGGCCTCTGTTAGCGCCTGTGCCGGGGACGGGCGGGATGACCGTGCCAGTGGCCCTGAGCCTCTGGCCGAGGAAGGTGGGGTGGGCATCAGCTCGATGGCTTTTAAGATGGTGCCATCTCCAGGAGGACAGGATGTATCCTCTCTGGTACCCCAGGCCTGCTGGGCCCAGGTGCAGGCACTGGGCACTGAGTGGCGTGCGGTGGCCCCTGTGCCTCGGGGGGGGGGGGGGTGGAGAGCGAGGGCTGCAGGGGGCTGAGTGGCAGGGCCTGCTGTGCACGTGGCATTGGGATGGGGCGTCCCTGCCTGGCCTGGTGAGGGTGCAGCCCAAACACCGTGTGGTCTCCTCCCGCCCTGCAGCACTATGCAGACGACCGCCATGGCCACGGCGGGCACCCCGAGCGCCACAGCCGGGACTCTCGCGACGGCTGGGGGGGCTACGGCTCCGACAAGAGGCTGAGTGAAGGCCGGGGGCTGCCCCCACCCCCCAGGTGAGGGGGCTTCTGGAAGGGCTGGGGCTGCGGGAGGTGGGGTCACCTGGGTGTGGCTGTCTGCCTCCCCACCCCCCTATGCCTGTGCTGGCTGTCTGTGGGACTCACTGGAGGGGACGTCCTCCTGAGTAGGGGCAGAGCCTTCATGGGGAACTGAGAACCGGGCACAAGGGTCCATGTTGGCCCACGGTGTCCTCTTTCTGGCCAGCTCAGTGCTCTGACCCGGGCGATCTGAGGTGCCTTCCGGCCGCGGCCCTCACGGTCTCCATGCTTCCATCCTGGGGTGTTTTCTGCGCCTTCTTTGTCTCAGGGGCAGCAACTGGCTGCCCCTTCTCCTGTGGCTTTTGCTGGGGACACCTCTGTCTTGGCGCTGTGTTGGGTTCCTCCCACAGGTAGCTGGTCTGAGCGGTAGCCTGGTTAGCACTGGATCTAAACGCTGGTGGGGATGTGAACGGGTGGGCGTAGCACCCAGACCGCTGTGGGCGGCTTTGCGCTGCAAGGCACACAGCGCCTCAGCCTGAGCCGCCAGGGCCTGCTGCCCGAGGAGGGGGATGGGAGGGGACTCTCCGGTTGCACCAGCATTTTTTCTTCCTTGGTTTGCTTTTGGTTTTTGTAGTACTGATCCCTTAACCCTGGTGAGGGCACACACCCTCCACTGAGCTGTATCTATAGCCCTTTTAGAGAAAATACTTTGAGGCCGGGAGGATGGCGCACACTTGTTATCCTAGCACTCAAGAGGCTGAGGCAGGAGGAACATGGCAAGTTGGAGACCAGTCTGGGCTACATGCCAAGACTCTATCAAAAAAAAAAAAAAAGTTTTTTAGACAGGATCTTAGTAAGTTGTCTGGGCTGGGTTTGCTGGGGTGACGGGTGCACCACCACGTCTTACTTACAGCTTTTTAAAAGCAGCTTTTTTGCATGAGGCATGGTTGTGTTCCCTGTAGTTCCAGAGCTGGGAAGGCTGAGGCAGGAGGATCACAAGTTAGAGGCCAGCCTGGAGTACATAGTGGGAACAGTAAATTTAACAGCCCTTTTAAAGTATAACTTGCATGCCATACAACTGACCCATTTAAAATGCACAATTCATTGTCTTCTGGTATATTCCAGAGTTGTACACCTTGTGCTACCATAAGTTTGAGAATATTTTCAAGCCGGGCACAGCAGCTGTCTTCAATTATTGCAGCTACTAAGAAGGCCGAGGCAGGATTGCAAGTTTAAAGCCAGCCTCGGCAACTTTAATGAGACCTTGTCTCAAAAATTTAAAAAATACCAGAGCATTTTCATCACTGCTCACAGTAAACCCTGCACCCCTAAGCAGCCACGTGCCAGCCTCCCGCGCCCCGCAGCCGCACCTGCGGTCTCAGGGGTTGCCCAGTCTGGGCGTCTGTACACGGAGCCCCAGCCTGGTGTCTGCATCCGGGCTTTCCGCAGCCCTCGCCCCCTCTCCCCCGCGCGCCTGGGCCCTGGAGTCTGAGCGCTCCGCCGCCGAGAGGCAGCGGCTCCCTGCTCGCCCCGCCTGGCGGGATC